CTGCCTAGAGCGGTTCTGGGTGTTGGGTAGAGAGAGAGCTAAGGGGCAGAAGGGACCATTGCATGTGTGTGTGTGTGTGTGTGTGTGACTTGTCCCTGGCTTCCTCTCGTGCAGCCCTCATCCAGGGCATCCTTTGTCAGCTGGGTCAGCTGTGACTGCAGTGCCCACCTCCTCGGGGACCCCAGAGCCTGGCCCTTGGGGCCAGGAATGTCCCTGTGCAGCCTGGATAGGAAGGGTGGTCTGGGATCTGTGGACCCAGAGCCAGCCTCCTGAGGGGACTAGGGTGGTAAGGGGGGCTGATTTGACAGCTCAGCTCCAGGGGCTGGGCAGGCTTGTCTAACCCTCACCTCATGCTTGGTCCCCTCCAGCTTGTCTAACAATCAACTTGGCGAGGAGGGTACCAAGGTGCTGACGGGGGCCCTTGAGGGCAAGTGCTGGCTGAAGAGACTTGAGTAAGTGGTGGTGGTTAATGGGGGTGAGAGCGGGGGAGTTGGGAGCATGTCTAAGAACCTTTGCATCTCTAGTGAACACCACTGTCAAGCTCCTGGATGGACCCAGGTGAGCTGAATGCCCTCCCTTTTCCTTCCTTACCTGGCTCTGGGTGTTATCAAAATGCTTGATCATAAGAAACAGGATACTCAGTCAAAACAACCCAACCCAGAAATGTATTAACTCGTGTCACAGAAAATAACAAGGCAACTGATTTCAGGCTTGGTTGGATCCAGGTTCTCTATTTGTTCCCCCTCCTCCCTCCCTCCCTCTCTCTCTCTCTCCCTTCCCCTCCCTCTCTCCTCCCCACCCCCCACCTCTTTACTTCATCCTCAGGCAGGCTGTCCCTGCAGCTGCAGGTTCACTTTCTACCAGCCAAGTGGAAAGGGAGCACCTTTTTCCCTGTACCTACAACACAAGGCCCTAGAATGAGTCTCACTGGACTAGCCCAGGTCACATGCCCACCCCTAAACCAATCACTGTGGCTCTAAGCACACGATAATCTGATTGGCCAGATCTGGGTCACATGCCCATCCAATTATCTGGACTGAGTCAGGGGTGGTATTTCAGGGGACTATTAACACAAGACAGAGAAACAAACTCTGGGCAGAAAAATACCCCATAGATGACCACTGCCATGTGCCTACAATCGTTTCCTTAGTAACTGGCAACTTTTACTCTCACCTATAATTTGGAGTCACCAAATTCTTAGAAACGCTGGAAACAGCCTCAGTGTAAAAGACAGGTCCCCATCCTGCACAGACGTGACAACATCGAGACAGAACACTTGACAAGGCATCTTCTGCTTTTAATCTCTAAGTTTATCCCTTGACCAAAAGCACACACGAATTATAAAAAGTTCCATCATCATAGAAATATGTAACAACGAACATGAAATCCCTGGCAATGACACCCCCTGGGAAAACTTCTGTAAATGAGCAGTTTGTGAGTTTTCCTCCAGATTTTTTTGGACACATTTTTGAATACAGTTTAAAAACAGCTCTCTGACTTTTTGCCCCTTAACAATGAATGAAATCCTTCCACTCTGTCCCTCTTTGCATATCCTGGCAGGGGTCAGGGGGTGGTATTAGGGAGACCTTTGACCAGAGGGTCCACTGTCTTCCCACTGAGATGTTTCTTTGGCTTCCCCCCATGTGCCTGCACCTCTGCTCAGCCTCCCTTTCTTCTGAAAGCTTTCATTTGGGGCGGAGTTGGAAGCCCAATGAGGTCATCCATTGGCTCGTTCATGCATTTAACATATATGTGTGTTCACCTGGGCATCCGGGCCAGAGCCAGAGGCTGGAAGTGCTTCAGAGAACAGGACATGCGGGATCTTAGTTCCCTGACCAGGGATCAAACCCATGCCCCCTGCACTGGGAACGCAGAGTCTTAACCACTGGACCGCCAGGGAAGTCCCAATGATTCCTTTCTGTCTGAAGGAAAGGGATAGATCTTCCCAGGCCTCCCCAGAGGCCTCTTCCAGTTTCAGATCTGTCGTTTCTGAGTGTCTCCTCTCCAACAAGCAGCTCGCCTCAGATCCAGCCAACTTTTCCCACCTGTCCCTCTGGGTGAAATGGTTAGGGGTGTAGGTGCTAGTTAACAGCCACACCACCTGTGTTCAACTCCTGGCACAGTAACCAACTGTCCCAGTTTAGCTGGGACAGAAAGTCCCGCATCCTGGAAAACTCCTCAGTTCTGGGCAAACCAGGATGGTTGTCACCTCTCGGTTCTACCTCAGTGTGTGAGCTTAGGCAAGGTACTTAACCTCTCTCTGTTTTCTTCCTCATCTTAACTCTGGGGAAAATAGCTTGACCTACCCCCTCAGTGATTGTGAGGATTAAATGAGATCACACACATGAAGCACTTAGAACAGAGCCTGGCACAGAATTCACACTCTGCGAGTATTGGCTGCTATTATTATTATTACTGTTGTTATTATTATTCCTCTCTCCTGCCCAAGGTGGGGCCATAAGGAGCATGATCCATGGGTAACACATGGTTGGGCCCAGGAATGGGAATCCTACAGCCTTGGGTTCTGTTCCTGATGCTGCCATTTTCTGTGTGTGACTGCTGGGCCTCAGTGTGCCTCATCTGTAAAATGGGGATAACTGTATCATCTCTAAATGGCCCTTAGTATGTGCTTGGTATGTGGTCGCTATGATTACTGATCAGTAGTCTGGGTCTAGTGTGATTCAGAATATAGAACTGCTGCCTGGATGACTGTAATCATTCTTACAGAGAAAACAGCATTTGGATTTCGCAGTGCAGTTTTGTTTGTACAGTTTTGGGGTTTTTTTTTTTACACTGTGTGGATGTAAGTGGCTGTCTTGGAGATCACTAGGCATTGCTGAGCACTCAAGGTCTGCGTCAGGGACCCAAGCCCAGTATGTCAAGTCCTCCTGTGGCCTCCTCTCCTCCAGCCTCAGCCACCTCCCACTGGGCGGCTCTACCCTGGCTGCACTCACTCAAGGACTAAGCCACATGACCCTCCTGCAGAGCCTCCGGTGAGTGACCAAGTGACCCCATAGGAGTGAGTGGGAGGAGGTACTTCCAAGTTCTGCTGGGACCACCCGTCTAGCGAAACACTGGGGCAACTCCCTGAGAACCCTCTGTGGCTCCTGTCCTCGGCACATTCCTATAACCCTCCCAGGTCGGTGTCACAGCTCTTGCCTTTTACTGCCACCAGCTTCCTCTGTGCTACACAAGTGACCTGAAGGAGCTGAGCCCAAGTCCTAGGACAACCCTTCACGTGCACAAATTCATGCTCTGTTCTTGTTCATGTTTCTGATTCACGGATGTGGGTTGCCTAGATTCTGCATTTCAACCTCCCAAGTGATGCCAGTTCTGGGGGCCACAGACCACACTTTGAGTAGCGATGGTCTAGCCTCAGAACTGATGACCTTGATATTCTGCCCTTGTGCCCCTGGCCACTTTGAGAAACAAATAGCACATGTTCTTTTCATGTGATTTTTCAAAATATGAAATATTGTGACTCTAAACAAACCCAAGCAATGACACAAAGCATTGTTTTGTTTTTATCCAAGTCCCCACCCCCTACTCTGGCAGGGTAGAGCATGTAGGAGATGAGCTCAGAGAGTTTGGGGGACCAGGTCATTTCACCCCAAATTAATTTACCGAAAGGCAGTTCCCTAAAAAGTAATTTGCAAAACAAAAGGCAGCAAAGCAAACAACCCTTAGACTAATACCTCTGCATCCGCTGTTTTGTTTGTCTTTTTGTTTTTTTGTTTGTGTTTTCCCCCCATTCACAGAGGCAGGGTGTGGTCAAGTGCAGAAAAGACCATAAATAGACTGGGTTTAAGGAAAAGCCCACTATTTTTATAGATTAGAACAGGATGAGTTATGAGAGACACGTGAAACTGACATTCAGCCGGGCTGGCCTGAAGATCCCTGACATAGGGGCAGAGGCAAAGCCTGGCCAAACCAAAAAAATGTGGCCACTGCTCCAGGCCAATGGCTCTGGCCTTTCATTTCCACCTTGCCTGGGAGGCCCTGGGGGTCTTTGGCCCATCACGGCTCCTCCCTGGGCCTCCGAATTCTCCTCTGGATATTGGGCACAGTCTGCCCACCTTGCCCATCCCCCTCCCTCGGAAGTTTTGTGACTGACATGAGTTCCTGGATGTGTAAAGGCTTTGCAAACTGTAGAGTTCTTAGCACTGCACTTGCAAATGCCTTTACTCCTGACTAAGGCTTCTTGGCCCTGCTTCTCCAGTCTGAGCAGGAGTGATATCGGTGACGTCGGCTGCTGCCACCTTTCGAAGGCTCTCAGAGCTGCCACCAGCTTGGAGGAGCTAGGGAGAGTTGCCTGTCCCTCCCCCAGACCCAAGACAGCTTTGGCAGGGGAAGGTGACCAAAGCAAGGGGCTCCTGGAGGACACTCTTCACTTCCTAGTCTCGTCACCTTCACCCACTTATATACTGCATCACCCCAGACCCAGAACCTCGGGAAACCCAAAGATAGGATATGAGAGTGTTGATTGCAGCAAGAAGGATTTAGGTCAGACACCAGGGAGAACATCCTAAACAGAAGACAAGAGTTTGGAGTCCTCACCCAACATAGGGTGAGGGGACTTTATCACTGTGGCTGAGGCCTTTCTCTAGACGTTGGCCTCCTCTTCGGGGATGAGGACACAGACAAGATGAGATGGGTGGCAGGCTGATGGTTGCAATTCCCCTGCTGTTCTCTCCCCAAGCTTGAGCCACAACCAGATTGGAGACACCGGTGCCCAGAACTTAGCTGCTGTCCTGCCGGGACTGCCTGAGCTCAGGAGGATAGAGTGAGTGGCCAGCCCTCTTGACAGGGGTCCTCAGCAGCCACACCATGGTCCGGGGAGACTCTGGCTTCCCCCCCTAACCTCAGTGTCCAGGCCCTGGGGCTAGTTACCTCCTGGAACTGTTGATCTGGGGACCTTGAGCCAGCCCAGCCCCTGCTCTTCCCTGGGCCTCTCTGTCCCATCAGGCTGGGACAGCGTGTGGCGAGGGCCCTAGCAGATGTGGTGGGGTTGGCGGGGGACGGGGGAGTCAAGGGTCTGACGTCTGCCCCTCCTCAGCCTCTCGGCGAATGGCATCGGCCCGGCAGGGGGAGCGCGGTTGGCGGAGTGTCTCCCGCTTTGTAGGCGCCTAGAGGAGCTGATGTGAGTGTCTGCCG